CGACGGACCATCACAGATTTCATGTGTTGCACGCGCGGCTCAGCTTGGCCGAATCCTGCTCTAAGCGTAAAATGAACGACAATGATGGAAGTAAACAGATGAAATTTGCGACCGGATTGATCTGATCTCCGGTGATGCTGCGAAATTAATCAATCGATTCCGTTAACCATTTGCTTCATCTTTCGACATTTGCTCTTTGACACGCATTTATCAACAAAACACTAATGACGTGACATGGACAATGAATAAACAATCGATTAAATAACCGACCGACTCAATGATTGAATAAATAGATGAATGAATGAATTTGGGTAGATAAACGAAGTTCGTTTTTCTTTTGTGATATGTCACGTAGTACCTTCAACGCTCGATTACATTTGTTCCGTGGAGAAAAACTGGAAATCGTGCCCCAACCAGAGACCAAGCCCAACACTTGGTGTTACAAAAACGTCACCTTTCATCTTCGGTCAAATACTTATTGCTATAATAAATGTTATACACCTTTAACTCAATGCCCTGATGCACAGAATGGTGGTGTGCTAGTCCTTTTCGCGAGAACGTGACCAAACCCACACGCGGAGACGTGTTCATACCTGTCTAGTAAGGAGGCAATGAGGACATTTTGCGTTGTGTTCGCCCATGCGTTGCTCATAAATCCAATTTTGCCTTCAGATGAATGAACCTAGCTAAACAAGTGGTGCATAGACGGAGTAACACCATATCGATTGGAGGTTGGTCAGTTTGGATGGATAGGATGGGTCCAATGAAGTACAAACACTTTTTTACGGTCAATGAAATACCCCCCAAAGCTCTGCCCTTGCATTCATCTAGAAGGGTTTATCACTGATAAAACGTCTCTCTTAACGTTGATTTGACAACCAATTCAGCACACAAGTGGTCGAATAATGGAGCATTTTTCTAAATTCATTGAGCTGATGAGATTGAACATCATTTGCGCCCACTTACTGGCCACTGTATATCAATTAAGAAAACCCACTTGTGCAGCTCTGCAGGTCATGGAGATACAAAATCCGATATGCGGTCTCGTTGAGAAAGATTTAGAGGAGCAAACATGCAGAATAAAAAGACTGTTCAGATTAACTAAGCGAGTCCCAAGTCATGTCAACGAGACATAAGTTGCACTCGGAACTGGAATTGTCCAATAGACCTAATTGATTCAGGGAAATAATCAAATGCATCATCTGAGTTGGGGTAAAAGAAGGGAGAATAGGGGGGTCAGTGGTTCACTTGGTTCGATCGTAAGGTATTGTGAGCAATAGGTTTGTCTCCGGGGCAGCAATCGCTTTGAAAATCAAGTGCAGTGCTCCACGCAAGTGCGTTCTGCAACATGTCGTTATAGGTGATTTTAACGACAGATAATTCATGGTGCAAACTTAATCAGAAAAGCCTAATACCGAAACTTGTTTAAATACATCCAGGTGGTTGCATGCGCTTCGAAAAAGGATTCGCATGAGGCATAAGTTAGTTTGTCGTATAGTTATTACGCCAACGTGCATCCTGTTCGAAGTGCTTATAGGTCGTTCAAAGCATGCAATCAAAACGAATGGTAATAAAGAATTTCTTAAATGAACGATCTATGCATGAGGTCAAACGATCAAATAATTAGTGCTCCTGAAGCCATTGTTATGCGGGGTTCGTCTCAGTCGATTTCGGCGACACATTGATCGGAATGTACGAGTAGATCGAACCATCACGGCCCATACATTTTGTAGGTGATTCATTCATCGTGAAATCGCAACTACTTCGTCTATGTTGTATCCTTTTAAGCATCCACTCCCCGCTGGACAGCGAATATTGTGACCAGGAATCTCCTCCCTTTTGCATCAATACATACAATTTTACCTTGGCTGCATGTAATCAATAACAAAAGACCTACTGGGTCTTTCACATATGAATCCTCATCGATCAAGTGATCACACACAACCGCCCACAAACAAGAGTTAAAATAGGATTGACCCATTCGGTTTTGTTTCATCGGCACCAGGCACTGTTGGTGATCTTGGGCGTGGGTTTCATTCACTGGGAGACTGTTAACTCCCCAAGAGGTAAAGGAATTTAAATGCGACACTAATGACGGACAAAACAGCTGTCCGATGCTCTTTGTCAGTCATCGCAAAGTTTCCGTCGCATTTAAGCGAATCGAAAATGTCTACCTGAGCATGAGTCTATCGCTTGAACTCAACGGACGGCAAGCTATTTCCGTTAGTTGCTGTCGGATCGAAAACTAGCTGATTGTCAATAAAATGAAAATTGGTGATTCTGGTGTAAGCCGGTTGGTAAGAGGCGCCTTTTAAGTAGTTGGTCCACGTTCATTCATAACATGGTCCAGTGAATATACCCTGTTGACGAGCTGTATGCGAGCAAAACAGGAGTCTAGTACTCCCCGAATATTATTGATAGGAAGAACTGAAAATCAAAGGTGACGGGTATTAACTGAAAACCAATAATAACATCTCTCCACCATTAGCAAATTAATCATTTAAACTATAAATTGAATATAATTAGCATTTGCGGGTTGATTACCATGAATATGAGATGAAAACAAGACCCTTTAAGAATATTGGAGCAACCTGTTTCTGAAATGAACGTATTATTTCTCGTTGTAGTTCGAAGATAATATGTACCTGAGAGGATCGAGCAGAATATTCTGGAAACGAATTGTTCAACATAGTACTGCTTTTTTTTATTCTACTTGGACTCGATAGGCTAATTCTAACTATTATCAACACTATTCGCAGAATCCACCTATCATCGTTTGCCACTATTTGAAGGCCGTTGAAGACTGATCCATGACAATGCAACTCATCATACAGAATCTCCACAGATGGAGAATTGGATAGTTTTAGTTTTGGTTAAATGAAATGGTCGAGTGGGTAGTATGCTTGCGTTCCGTCTGTAAGGTCCCTAGTCCGATCCCCCGTCGGGTGGATGGATTCGCAATGCTAATGGGACCCAACCAGGTCGAAAAAGCTGTTCAGCGAATGCTTACGCAGACGTAACTTGCGGGAGTACTTCTTAAACCCAGTACCCATGCTCAGTCCATCTTTCGATAAAGTGGACCGTATTCTTGTGCCACACGTGCGAAATACGAACTCTCATCTTCCCTTAGGTCGTCAGATCCATGTTTCTGACAATATTTAATAGGAATAGTTAATCGTCATCTACCTATCGTTTACACTTTGTTCCTTTATTCTGTATATAAATTTCTTAAACAATCATCATTTAAGAAAAGGATTATTGAGCTTTTTCTCAATGATCGTTTGCTCGTATAGTTACCATAAGCCGTAAACCTCATTCGAAATTACTAGAGTTCTTACACAACAGCTCAAATCTTTCTCAGGGAGCGGGGCGCATTCATACAAATAATTCATCGGTCTACTGGTTCAGTATTATAAGGCTTTGTTTGTCTACCAGCAACTGAAATTGAAAAATACACTAAGCATATAGTTGATAAACGTGGCTCCAGTGACAGTAATCACTGATGTTCGGTCTTCTCTTAATATCTTCAGAACATTCATCATAAGTATCAGTTTAGATGCTATAATTTATTTGGGTCAGTTTAAACAAAACATCATTTTTAACAAGAGCAGACAGTTTTGATTTAGAACAGGAAATTGGGTGAATTTTATGAAAGCTTCAAACATATGCGAAAATACTTTGTATAAAACAATTACGTAGGATCATTCACTGCTAGTGTGGCAGAACGTTTGGAACTGTTTGGTTTTCCGGACATCCCAATTAGAATGATTTAAATGGAATTCGTAGAGAGAACAAGATTAGGCGCCGCATTGAGCAATGCAGAAACTTGGTTAGCGACCTATTTAACTTTGCTCAAAACTATAGGGTTGAAAATTTAGGGAGTCGAACAAACAAAACAGTGGAAAACTCTGTTGGCAACAAATGGAGAATCGTCGGTAGGGGCTGGGTAAAATGGTTAAATTGAAGCGCATGATATACGTCGTTTTCGGCATTAACATATTTCGAAAACACCTAAGTTCACCAAATCTGTGAAAAAGCGGATTATTTCTGTTCTCATTCGCGACCAGGCATATGATGTAGAATAATGTTGGAAAATCGTAGGACAGTGGAGAACAAAAGCTAATTTTATGACTTATGTACTCATAAGTAGTAAAAATAGCCCATGGAATAATCATTTGACACTTTAGCAGAAAGGAATATCCTATAGTGAATCATCAGCTCGCGCGTTAATTCAGTGACAATACGATGTCAGACAGAATCAATACCTATCAAATAACGTTCACAAAGATTGAAAAAGTTCAATCAAACTACACCAAATAAATAAGAATACACGGAGCGTTGTGATTAAAAACAATCCATGATTTGTTCGTGGGCGTGATGCTGGCAAGTTCCCCTAACTGGAGCGAATGATGGTGCCGTCGGGTTCGAGAATACTTGAATAAACGTCGGCGAACAATCAAGGGACACAAAGTTCAAAGCTACGTTTACATTCTCCCTTGTAATTTTTACGGATGGAGATCGCTTACTTGTAATTAGAAGATATTGCAGCAAACTAAGTGACGCCTAGTGGTCAAGGCACGAGTGTATCTAGATGAAGGTCCTTACTTGCATTGAAAACAATTTCACCAAGGGTTGACTGCAAAATTACTGAGAAAATGTATCCACTCATTTCATGTACGCATGTTATTATCTACTATCTCGGTAAGGCATAAACAATTATGGTACACTTTTCCCAGGAGCAGATACCGTTAAAAGTCCTTCGAACAGAGTCATTCTAACCGTAGCCACTGATACAAAACGCTAACAAATGATATCGGTTTGTTGCTTGACTTTGCACATGCACGGGAATAATACATGAGGATGATGGGAACATGATTCAAACATACAAGCTGTGGCTTTCAACTGTGCTTTTTCGGTAACAGCGAAAACACAGAACAGTGTCGCCAACGGACGGAATGGATGCGAGGAGATGCAACAAGCACACCAAAAACAATGCTGAGTTATGCGATCTGTATACGGGACAGTTCTTTCTCCAACAGTGCTACCAGATCATCGGAAAGTAAATCCGACTTGTTCGGGTTCTTGGCGGTAGTTCGACGCTCCTCACTCTGTTGTGCAAGCAGAAAGCGAATAGAGTTACAAGCGGATGCGCTGGTACTTAGTTGATCCCCGTAGTGTTCAACTAGCCGTCGCAAGGCAGACAAATACGCCACACGACGGTGTTCCCAAGCGTTTGCATCCAGTTGACGCACTTGTTCATAGTCCTCACTGTGTTTCTCAGCCTTGATCGCACCAAGGTGCACAAGCAAACAGTTAGCAGCCCGACTAGAACGACTAGTGTGAGGCATATTGGATCCCATCGTCTGTTGCTTCGCTGCATCTGAATTTTCCACGTCTGGTGTAAGCACCGAAGCCAAAAGATCAACTGCAAGTCGCTGAGCACCGTTCGGTGTTGATGTGGAAGTTGTGTCGACGTTGAGACGACACAAGTGTAAGCTTAAACGCACTACTTCCTCCGGCTCTATGGTCTTTGTAGTTGATCGAAGTTTATCCAAAGGAACAACGACTGGAGATTGGGTGTTCAGAATACCTGAAAAAGAGACCGAAATGGCAAGAGCACAAAAAGCGCTTGAGGAAGCCGTTTTTGCTAAAAACGTGCAGTTCAGTTGTTTACAAACAATGTATGGTAGCATAACACTAACATAACACTACTTCGGTAGTCGACACATTCAGAACTGCATGGGAAAACTTCGGCGTCTCTCCTTTCATCTCCGAAAGCTCAGACGATTTCGCACTCTCCAACAAGTTTTGTTTTCCTTTGTTAAACAATGTGTTCTCTTTATTTTACTTTACTGCTCCTTTGTAGTGTTTCCTGGTCTACTGAAACAAGACTAAAGCTATCCGTCGTGGATTGATGATAATAAGCCTTGCATCTTTAATTTCTGCCGAGTCATTAATCACAGAACTTATTAATGGTCATATGAAGTCTTGTATGACCTTCGCGAATAAGATTTTAAACGACACCTCTCATCCTTTACATCCTGACTTATCTTGTCGCTCCCACTCGATCACTCGTTCCTCTTGTCGGTATCTACCCTCTCGAATAAACATTTATAAAAACTCCACTGTACCGTATCTGGCTCGAATCTTGACCAACAAGGTACGAGTTATAAGTGAATTGCGTCAATCTTTAATTGAATTCAAACTTCGGAGACTCTTTTACACAGCACTGCATTGCACCTGTCTATACTCATATATTTTCTCCGGTGTGACGGCCAGCGTACAATTTTTAACTGAAAGGTAAGCATATCTAAGCTTGCAAAAATTACAAAAATACAAATACAAAAATAATATCACTCATCAAGTTGAACTCAATTAGAACGTCCAATGAATAGGTAACGATGGCCCATCAAACAGAAGTCAGCTTTAATTGCTCAACGCGAAAAAACCACAAGTGGCAAATGCTCTAGGGATTCTAAGGGGCTAGGCTGGGCACATAAAAGTGTAGCAACACGGACCATGCGAAACGGGATGCTGAATCCCCAACTAAGAGTCGATAAAAAGCTTATGTTTAATCAAGAAACATCTTTTATAATTTACTAACTCAATTTAACCAACAGAATTCCTTCTTTATTATTTGAATATCTGTATGATCAAACTTGGGATGGAGTGCTAAGCTTTGATTGAGAAACCTAATGGTTGTTTGGCTTAGTGCTCAAACTCCGTCAAACTCATGGAAATTCACAATCTATAAAGATTTCCATACTACATAGGTTGCCGTGCAGGATAATCAGAGATGCAATTTCCATTACCATAGAGTCTGTCCACGTGAGCAGGTTGTTTGCGATCAGCGAAGCAACAACGCAAATGAAATACCGTCTGATCCACCGTATTCAGCTGTTGCGTACAGGGAGTCAAAACATCACCATTGGTGGCCTGTTGCTCTGGTTTGTTGGATGAAGCCTGCTGTACGGATGGAACTGGAGGAGAAAAGAGATGCTGTCCCTTTCCGAACACCATCCCGGTGGTTGGCATCGAGAACAGACCGGATGCAGTTCCTGAGGAACTGGTGGGCCAAAGTTTGGATCGCATGGAAGCAGCATCTGTGCTGTCCACCGGAGACGGTCCTAGGGCAGAGAACAAGCCGCGACCGAACGGTCCCGGTTTGGCAGACGGAGTCACCTCACCTTTCATTGTCGGGGAACACGCATCTCCTATTGCTGCTTCCAAAGCCCGAAAGCTGAAATCTGAATCCGAACACCAAAAACACCACAATGAAGGACGTTTCCAAGGTAAAATAGAGACAAAACAGACACCTACAAATCCGATCTTTGTGTGATCAGTATATTCAAACAGACGGCAAGTCGTCGACGAGCTTTTAAAACCAAGCCGTCAAGTGAACAACAGCATCGAGATCCCTAACCGCTTAACTACAAAATCGATCGGCGTAACAGCACTTGGGCGACTGGAAAGTTAATATTCATATAAAAGAGTCAGCGCAGTGACTACATCGCCCAAAGGGACCAAAACCAAATGCCAACAGCGTTAAGGTTGGTAGCGTTCGTCACTCTTAACTGACTGTACAAACCGAATGAAAAACAAGCCCGAGAGAATTCGGTTGAGTTTCGCATAGATCACGGATGCACCTAGAGCACTGTCATGTTTACCAGAGACTAGCGATCATTGTTTTTAGACATCCTCATGGCTCTCGATTCCATCGATAGGAATACAATATGGAACAATTGGTTGAGAAATAGTGTCCAAGGAGCATATATTTATCCCCCAACGAGTTGAATTGTCATATATCAGGTTGTGTTAGGGCCTATGATCAGCTTTTGACACTTCTTTGTTTTCCGTGGAGTTTCTGCTTCAGTTTCAGTTTGTACAATCATTAACCATGCACTTCCGTGGGCCGGTTTTGGTTGCTGTCATTTGGCTCCCCATTTGGATGAAGAATAGAAGATAGAAAGGTTGAAAGTGGAGTCGGACAGAAAATGGAGAATTTCAGTGGTCTAGGGTTGCAAAGAAATTGAGAGAATGCGCGAACGCCACTGTTAACGACACTCAGCCATGTCACTCAGTTTCTCTAACCATCGGTTACGACAATCTCGAGGTCCCCATCCAGGGAGCCTAACGGGACCTATGTCAGCCNACACTCTTGGTCAGAAATTTCATACCTTCAAGTCCGATCTTAGCTTGGCCACCCTTGGCTTTTTTCCACCCATTACCTGCCTCGGCAAACATCGCCTAATCTCAGCATTTCCAGTCCGGTTTCCCCACCGGAGTCGTGCAATGCGACGTAGACGCCGGTGTTCGAACACCGACAAGTTATTTTTATCTTACTCCCGTAGTAGCCAAGTCTTTGCCCGTAGAGCAGAACTGGCCAAACTGCTGCAGCATACACTCGACTCTTCACAGACAACCGGATGTCGCGACGGCACCACAGATGTCTCAAGTTAGAAAATGCCAACCGAACCTTCTGTATGCGGGCTGAAACTTCATCCGTGATGCCTCCACCGGGTGAGATGTACCTGCCAAAATAACAAAACTTATCCATTTGCTCTATTACTCCTCCGGTTAGAGTGAGGCTGGGTGCTGGACCAACACAGTTTTGTAGTCATATTTTACACTTTGAAGGTGCAAAACGCATACCGAACATGGCTACGCTGGCGCTCAAACTATCCAGAGAAGCTTGCAACTTACCTGCATCTTCGCTTAGCAGCACAATGTCTGCCTACTCTAGATCAGACAGACTGCAACCTGGAAGTAAATCTATGCCACTATCCTCGCACGAGGATAAGGCTGTTTCTGTAACAAACCTATAACAAAGTTAAATAGCAAAGGATAGAGAGCAACCTTGACGAACACCGCTTTCCGTGGTGAACTCGGGAGAAAACGTGCCATAAGCCCGGACTCCACTTCGGCTATTAGTATAAAGCGATCGTAATATTGAAATTAACTTCTCGGGCACATCCTTCAGGGAAGGCAGCGTCAGAGTTTGGGGCGGTCGACTGAGTCGAAAGCCACTTTCAAATCGAGAAAAACAGATGGTGGGTCTACGAAAAGAATGTCGATGTTCCAGAAATTGGCGAGGAGTGAAGATGTGGTCGATACAACCTCGATCAGGTCTAAAAACAGCCCGGATTTTACGCGCGCACTCTTCACGTGCGGCAGAAAATCAACGGAGTATAATACCAGCGAGAAGTTTAGAGATGATGTTGATTAAACTACTTCCTCTGTGATTTTCACAGGAGGATCCGTTGCCTTTCTTGTAAATCGGTATGATCATTGATTGTTCAACTCCCCCTCCCCAAGTTACAGAGATTTGACCAAGATCATATCGATGATATCGACTTACTGGGTGATAAAACAATTTGTGATCGAAGTACCCAGATATGATATGTGCTTTGCATCATCCAAATGCAAAGTGCCTGCACAGCACTAGTAGGAGCCTGTGCTTGTACTCACCTTCTGTGGCGATCAGCTGGGGGTGGTTGAGAGCTTCAAGTTACCTTGGGAGCTTGATCGCAGACTGACTTGGCGTTAGGGAAGAGATCAAATCACAAGTAGCAAAAGCTAGGGCGAGTTCTGCCAACCTATGGCACCAGTAACTCTGCCATGACATTCGACTTTCCCGTACTGGAAAGGTGTCCATCGCCGTAGCTCGTAACGCGTTGCTTCATGGTTGCGAAAACTAACCTCTCCGCACTGAAGATGCCAATCGACTTTCCGTATTATGCCACTGACCTGTTCGAAAATTTGCTCGTATCTAGTTGAAACATCAGGTGAGCCATAATGAAGTCCACCCTCGTGAACTGAGAGCGGTTCTCTGACGAGGAAATCGTTCTATACTACCTCCGATGGCTCCATCAGGTTATGTATGCCTGTGCATCTTCTACCTCTCCGTGCTAGCGTGGCATGTTCTGAACAAAGCTGGAAGAAACAACGAGGCCATCAGACTTGACTATGGTTAATGCAGTCAGCCACGGGATGAAGATTGGTTCAAGACGCTGGGACATATGGTTCAAAATAGCGGTTAGTGTTGCAGCTGCTGCAGTGTTTATAAAAATCCCGCGCCCGATAAGAAGACAAAACAATTTAAGAAAGCACTGTTTTTTGTTCACTGTAATCTACTTTCCCTCATTTTTGCCCTATATTAAAACGTCAGTCTCCAAGACCGAGTGGAAAATTGGTTTTCTATTCTGCACCAGAAAATTCTTTTCTCTTGACTTTTTGTATGAATTACAAATACGACTCACTCTTCAGTACTGCGGCCACATAAGGGGTAGAGCTCGTCTTTTTCCCTATACCTCCGTAATCAGACTCAAAGGAAAACCATTCGAACTATCAGCAATCCTAACCTCACTGCCGGAGCCCATCGTCAGATAATTGCTGCAATTTTCCTCTTCTATCGTTATTACCATGGATTCTGCTCTTCCAAGAAAGCTATGGCAGAGTCTGTTCCTTTAATCCTTCCAAGTCAGTCCAAGAACCAGGAGTCGCGCTTATTAAATGTGTGTCTGCGTGAACAAGATGGATATTGACGATAGCCATTTAAACATGGTTACTTCATGGTGATCGTATATAAATACTTATTACCAAAGATAAGCTTTCTAACAGTAATTTTGCTCGATAGGTCAATGAGAGAAAAACGTACTCGGCTTTACGATCGGGCGCTCCTCCACCGTGATAAACGAAGCTTCCTTGTCGTCAGCATCCGCATCTTCGTAACTTGGTTCTTCTTCTTCATCCTCGTACTCGTCGTAGTCATCTGCATCCCCGTCACCATAAGCGTCCTCATCATGCTCCTGGTCCTCTTCATCCTCCGGCTCTGCATCCTCTTCTTCTTCATCGCCCGAACCTTGATCCTCGTCAAACGCCGAGGCGAACCGACTGGTACCTTGCTCCCCATCTACATCACCTACTGGCTCACTGCTAGTATCTGCTTGGTTGACAGGCAGAACGTGCAACAGACCCACTGAAGCCAGGGTACGAATAATGGCTCGGATTCCAGACTTTCCGAACTCGTTCGCGTTGAGATCCAAAAATTCCAGTCTGGACTTACTCCCCAAAGACAATATCAGACTGATTCCTGTGCTGCGCGTAATTTCGTTGCCTGTTAGATTGAGAACGCGAATATTGGGAAGTGTATCCGGGTCTTCCAAAGCTCTTGCAATGGCAGTTACACCGGAGGGGCGGAGAATACAGTCACTTAGATGGAGCTCCTGTTAAGATAAAACAAAATGAGACAAATTAAGCTCTAGAATTTGCCGTGGCATCACGCCTTAAAGCGGAATATGTGGTAGAGATCGGAATGATAAACAACTGATTGTCAACGAATGGGTTGATGATGGGATTCAAATCCAAGTTCTTATCCACCCAAATTCATACCATTCGTGTACCACCGCGTGATTTAAACAGTATCAGTGAAGTGCCATAAATGACGGTTTGAAGACAGTAGACGTCAATTAGTTATAGCTGATGGATTTCGGTTCTCAGGCTTATTAAATATATTCATTAGAATGGGATTCAATGAAAAATTCTCCTAAAACACTGATGGCAGCCCTTTGATTGGCCGCTTCTCCCTTCCTAAAAACTGTACATTCATAAATTCAATACAAGGAAGTAAAAACGAAAACGAAAAAAAATAAAGTGAATAATCTAAAGGAAAAAGCAGCTAAAAACGGAACCTCTTGCAGTTTGTAGATTCGAAAACAGAAATCCCGCACAATGGGACAGTGATTTGCATCTATCGTGTTGATAACCCTAAGGATCATAACAGTGACTGAATGTGGAATTTCCTAGTAATTTGAGAGAGAAGAGAATAAAGTTGGAAAATTTAAAAGAAATCACTTAATCACCGCGCTCCGATTTTCAAACAGATCAGTTAGTTTTTCACGAATCTGTATTTAAACGGCAAGGTCTTATAAAAACACACTGGCTTGAAGAAAGTATCACATCAAACTCCCGACTTACGAGCCAAGATGCTATATGCTTCTGACAATACGGCTACTAATTCAAATAATTCTGCCAAACATCATATGCCACGGTGATCAAAAGGAGACTCCTATTCTACGTTATTGTTGGAGTAGCTTGGCTAAAGTCTAGGCACCTTTCATGCCCATGAGAATGATCGTATAAAAACATCAAAGCAAATGTATACAAACTTGTTGAAATCGAAAAGTTAGCGACCAAAGGTGATAGCTCAATAATTAAAACGATGTCTTTGAAAACAACTGTACCTCAAGGTTTTCCAAGGAAGACAAAGCTTTGGCGATGGCTTTGCCACCCTTTTGCGTTAGACTGTTATCTGACAAGTTCAAAACACGTAAGTTAGGATTGTGCTTCATCATTCTCACGAGTGCGTCTACTCCTTCGATACCATGTATACCGATCCCATTTTGATAGAGTGCCACCTTGAAAACAAAACTCATGCGAAATGAATAAATTCGACATTACCTCTTCCAATGACCCCATATCACAGAATACGTCAGAGAGAAGCTGTGCACCATAGTTTTCCAGACGATTTCTGCCTGCACAAAACACTTTCAACAACAGACCACGTCCCCCGCTAGACTTCCTTCCTTTTTGCAGGGCTTCTGTCAAGTGTCGACAGCCTTCGTGACCTAAACCTTGATTATTCATACGAAGTATCTAGTAATACACAGTACAGAATGGATGAAGCGAATTCTCAGTTCCCTACCTGCAGCGTAGAACACGCAGGGCTTGCAATGAGATCCACCACACCAACCACACCATTCGGACCAAAAGCGTTATCACTCAGATCCAGTTCAACCAAACGGGCACCGGATGCAATTATACCGGAACTGAGATGTCTCAGTGCAGGAGCGATTTCTGATTTCAGACGACCTGGATATTATGCAAATTAGAATGGTGAACAAACGTTAAAACCAGAAGGACTTGAAGTTGACCAGAAACCAAAGATCACCTCAAGTAAAAGGATAGCAAATTTTAAAATTCAAAGCAACAAATTCTAGCCATCTATTTTATCGAAGTTGGAAATAATAACTATATGATAAAAACTTATTTACTCCGTGCTTTTGTCTGCAAAGAATTATGACGCGCAATATCTGAAACGCACGAGTAAACCTTAAAGGTACATTCCTGTAAAACACTGATCGCAGACAGCGATTACGGCCCTGAGCGGTAAGCAAAGTACTTGGAAAATATACAGGAGCAAAATACGGAGGAGATCAATCGTATATCACCAGCACACACAATTACAGGTTCGCGCAGCTAAAACGAGATGGAATGATAAAAATATCACCAACTGATAAGATGCTTCAGGCGGAACACCGGGGATAACTTTGACCCTCTCGGTAGAATACAATACTGTCAATCGCAAACAACCATTCAAAAAATTGAATGGTAAGGTAGAAGACGGAAATCCTGTATAGATCAGGGATCGACCTTGGACAAACGTAATTTAGTACTGTTGTATGTGTTAGACAAACAATGCATACAATTTTGGATATTCCCTTTTCCCTTAAACAAAACCTCGGGTATTGGATCGGAGGGTCTTTTATTCGGTGGATGACTGTAATTCATACCTCAATTTGGTAGCGGCAAAGTAGAAACCTTAATGGTCCCAGTAGCCTGTGGACCTGGATACCCTGGGGTTAAGCAGAGCGGAATGCTACCAGGCGCGTCCCCGGGTTGTGGAAAGGGGGATACCTTCACAGGTTATCTGTGAATAAATTGTGGCATACCGCAACAAATAAGCAGTCGAGAACAAACAGCGGCGGCACTGCCAGGGTGTGGTGGGTTTCAGGCGGGCCACCTGGCTCCCGTTTAAAAGCCGCATAAGCCCAATGACGGTGTTGTGACAAAGGTCGATATGACCGTCCTTTTAAAACTAGTCATTGACCCCATCAAATCCGAGGCGAGGGATTACTTACTGCTGTCTTGCAGTTCGCACTTGGTTGTGCAAACCACAGAGGTGCGCCCTCAAAAGAAAACGCCGAGTGACGCTGGAGACGTCTCTCGTACCAAACTCCCAAGGAACTTCATGATCATGTTCATGTTTGGAGCCGGCTTATTCTTTCCAAGGAGCCAGCCGCAGTAAAGTAAAGTAAAGGAAGTCAGTGGACTCGAAATCACGGAGTTGACTGCTTTTGAACCACAAACAAAATGACCGACGTGGATCTAAACGAGAATTAGGTGATTCATTGCTGTTTTACCGCATTTGAGTGCTGCTTAACCCGAGCGCTACAGACGGTCAGACAGTGAATGGGAACACGTCAGATCTAGAGCCTAACTAATGAGAACAAGTAAGATTTTACATCAAACTATATCAATGTCAACACCGACCTCTGAAATTACGTGCACCATAACAAGATTTCGTCAGTATGATTTCTCAGAAATTTTAACTTTAGCAATACGGTCGTCCGAGGCGGTACCATTGCCCAACTGCAGATTTATACGATTCATCACTTCAATCCCCTTGATTTCAAGGTTTCAAGGAGGAAACAGATAATTAAGGTAGACCAAGGTTGAGAAGAAACCCAGTAAATGCAAGAGTACTACTGTTTGCGATACTCGGTTATATCACTTATTGCTCTAACCATCGATCACACCAATCCCGAGGTACCCAACCTTGAAGCCTAAAGCGACTTAAGCGAACGTATACTATAGCCAGGGTTTGAAATCCAGATCACCCTTGGCGTTGCCAACCCACTATATTTCTCGATAAATATTGCACGTCCAAAAAGCCTGTCGTGTGACATGCCCCGTTCAACGTAATCTGTAGAGGTCGACCACTCTAGTGAGCGACCATAGCGTTACTTGTCCACTTTCTCCCCAAGGTTAGTATAACCTGGCGTAAACAACGGTAGTCTATCTTAATCTTGCTCCCGTAATGGCAAAATCTTTGCAGCACACAGCAGCATCGGCTGAACCTCTGCAGCACACACACGATACTTCCTGGATAACCGAATGCCCCGGAGAAATCAAATGTCTCAAGTTGGTAAATACCAACCTAGTCTTATTCATGCATGTCGACATTTAATTGGTAATGCGCCCACCTGATGAGATGCAGCTGTCGCCTCCAAAAGCCCCAGTATCGCCGAGGGTGGGTTGTGGCTGGCCACCTCTTATTTGCACCTTGAGAAATGCTCAAGCATCTTAAAAGGCATCTTCTGAGGAAGCGCTACTCACTGCCTTCTCGTGGAGGTGTTTTCCCATCATGGTGAGGGGACTAAAAGCCAACATTCAGGGGTGAAACCAGGTTGACGAACCACTGGCAGTTCATCTAGGGGAGTTAGCTTAAAACTCTGATTACAAACTAAACAAGAGGAGGCGAGCGAAACATAAACACATCTTCCTGGTTGTATCGGTGGTCACTGGTTCGATTGGGCCTCGAGGTGTGTTGGGCGCCGTCCAATGGGCGTACACTCCGATGAATTGAACACCGCCTCCCAAGCATCAGCGTCGCTCACAATAAACACCACTGTCTTACACGAAAACCCAACACCTCAGCATAGCGATGGATTCAATTCGATCACACCGCCATCAGCAAAACCTGGTGGAGATCCATTCAAGACTGACCCCCTCACAGATCAATACGTTAGGACGCGGACTATACTCTGTTACGAGCCAGATTCTCCCTTAACCTGGTAAATAACCGCAACAAAGCCCACCTGATTTTACGGACCTTTTTGAAACTTTACGTGAGGTGACGTTACAGTCGGGATTGATCTTTTTCTCTATCAAGACCACTAAATCGTGATATCCAATGTCTTGGGTGAGCTTAAGGCTCAGATATACAAGCAATGATCCCTGTGGAGTGAATAACTCGTTGAATTTGATCCCATTGTTCATCGCTGCCATGTCCTTGGCTCATGTTTTAACTCTTTTATTGCACCCATTTGTATGTAATGAGTAGCAGACGGGGTAAACGCCATAATCATGAGGACATGCTGCTCATTTATGGGAACCCAAGTCCGCGGACCTGAAGCATCCAATCACATAAGGCTCCTCTACGTTAGGCGTTGTACGAAGCCGGCCGACAGTGACGCTGCCTATCACCAAAGTTCGGTGGTGGTGGTGGCGGGGTTAGAACCTCGGAGCCTAAGGCCCAAAGCCTCCCCGGTGGCAGTGAATTAAACCGCTTGACCAACGCCACCCCAGTGGGGAAAAAAGCTGGATCAGATGAGTGATGGTGGGTCAAAGGAGTTTACTGGTTTCGTCGGCGACCAGGGTGTCCGACTGCGAAATGCATGAATACTAATGCGTAATCAGATTCAAAGCAGGTGGTCCAATAAAACCTGTAGCTTTGCACTGAGCCAGGTCAACCGTGGCTTACTGCTGTGATCGATCTGAGTCAGCTTAACTCTTGAACTGGAGCACCATGTTGTCGTCCATCATGAGCTTTGTCGGAAAAGGGTACTGGGCAGGAACAGATGGTCTTCCCTGCAGAACTGAGGGAGTCGGTCGCTGTCATCTGTCCTCTGACATGGTAGGCCACAACGACGGCCAAGGTAAACTTACGAAGTGATCGGTTTTCCAAACTGTGCGTTGAAATCATTTGCAAGCAAAACTGCATCGGACCTCTAGCTCAAACGAAGTAGTTCGGTCAGTTCGTCGTAGTAATTGGCCTTTTTGTGTCCATCAGAACTGTAGAAGCATATGCTGAAACCATGAACGAACACCATTAGTAGTGGCTTCCCTTCTNTCTGGATGCTACTTGACACCTGCCGCTGCATCCAGCCAGGAATACGTTCGAGTGGTGAAGCATCAGCTTTATAACCGAGTACAGAGCCTACTTCATTCTGAACTAGTGAAAGAACTTCGTTGTCGCCTAATATGAGGAGGAAGCAGACGTAGAAGCACTTAAGTGGCTTATTATATTATCGTTATACTACCTTCTTGCATTAATGTCTCCGATAAACAGAAAACACCAAGTCATCAAGAGTCCATTGTATGCATCAGCCAAGCATATTGACCAGCCTGTTATCCGAGCTTCCACGCTCTAGGCCCTGAGATTCGAAGATTGGCGAGGCTTCAGAATCTGCAATATATTTCGTGGTGAATAACGTACAATGCTATATAGCGATTACCTTAAACGAGCGCCTGATGAACAGATACAGGCCAGAAGGAGCAAAGGGAGAGAATTAGGCATGGAAAACGAAGAACTTAACAACGGTTGCGATGCCTGAGTAGTAGCGCACTTATCACCACCCCGTTCGATGCAATAGATAGCGGGGTCCGGACTGACCTTGATGATGAAATTTGCTGCATAATTTGGATATGCATTGGAGTTTGGTGGACGGGTGATGCTAGGCCTACCAAGCAAGAGAACGATTAGGTCCTCAAGTAAAACCTTTGGCCAAGCGGTGGGTAAAACGAATTACAGGCTTATTTAGTTGGATGCATTATTTATCCATAATTTGTATCGACCGAAATATCAGTTCAATCTGCTTTTGTAACAATTAACTATGTACTCTCGTGCGCCGGCTTCGGCTGCTATCCTTTGGTTACTCAGTTGGATAAAGCAGCACAAGGAAGATTGGAACGTTGACAGCAGAACGAAGAAGATTCATGATTCATACAGACTTTGGTTGCGAGAATACTGAGTAGTTGCACAATTGCCACCATTTGAGACACTCAGTTTCTCTAACCACCGGTTACTATGATCTCGGGGTCCCCATGGTGGAAGCCTAACGGAATCCATCCAACCCTATCCCTTAGTTGGGCTTTCCATAATCTCATTTCAGGTCTTTGTTTGACCGCTCTTGATCTTTTACCAACCTCTACCTGCCTCGGTAAACATCGCGCGCCGTAGCAGCCTATCTGGTGGCATGTGAAACATCCCCAGAGCAGTGTAATCTATGGGAACTCTACTCGGACTCTAAGGGACTCCACTGGGACTTTTATATCCTATTTTCTATTTTCCAATTGGACCCACAGTCCCAGTCTTCAGTAGTACGCGGCCCGGGCAAAATAAAATACTGAAAATACCTCAAACTGGATCAGGATTTGGAAAAAGTAATAAGATATTATTTAGAACCTACCCGTGAACAGGTCGCTCCACAAACATCTCTGAAGCTTCGGATTGTTTTCTAAAGCTATCCCAATGGGTTCCGCAGCTGTAATACCAAGTGTGTTTCCACTCAGGTTGAAGGAGTTCACATCGGGATTCTGACGAAGGGCTTCGACTATTTTCT